GCCTACTCGCTAAAATCGATCTGTGACCCGAAAAGCAGTGCTCAGGTGCTTTCCGAGTCGCTGGGGTCCGGTGCGCGTGGCGCAGTCTGAGTCGTGCACGTTCCGCTGAGGACAAACAGGGTGGGTCCGCCGTCTCGTTTCAGCGCTCACACTGCACACAGTGTCCTTTTCACGGTCCCTGTAGGGCCACTGTTTTGCATTTTTGTGCTTTTTGTTAGCGATTTCACTGTGTAAAACGGCCCCAGCACAGTGGTGAGGGATGGCCACTGTTCGGAAGCACAGGAGGGCTGTATGTGCCTCACGGAGGAAATGCGTGGCTTAGCAAACCTCTCCCAGGCCCGCGTCCAATGCTGTTGGCCATGAGTTCAGTGTTAACGAATCAACAAATATGTTATAAACAATGTCTTTAAGCAGAAGCACACATAACACGAGGTTATGTATTGATCTGGTGGAGAGAGATACTGGGAGCGGAGGCTGGCAGGAGCCCTGCCTGTGCTTCCTGGGGGCCTGGTCCGTGTTGCTGACTCAGCGTTCAGGGCGGGGCCGTGCAGAGCGTAACTGTCACAGCTCATGAGAATCCACTGCATGTCCTAGAATTCAGGGCCTGCAGACCGTGGCTCTGGTGCTAGCTCCCTGTTCTGGGAAACAGTTTTATCTAAATGCAGATACACCCGTTGTTTCCATAACTGTCGGAGGCTGCTTTGTGGCCCACGGAGCCCACAGGAGCTCACATCTGGTCCTTCATGGAAAGCCGGCCGCCCTGCCGGGTGTGCGCACGCGGCGTTCTTGCTGTGTGTTTCAGGCAGGCTAACACACTAACACACATGCCCTGCTTCAGTTTCCTTACATGTAAGGGAGCGTGGCGTCCTGTGAGAAATGCATGGGAAGACACGGGAGTGCGGGGCACAGGCGGAACCTGCAGTCCTTCTTGTTCTTGTTTTATTTTTTTACGTGGTCACAGCCGTCCTGGGGAAATGCAAGGTGACAGACAGCTCTCCGGTCCCCACAGAATCATGACGAACAGGATTCAATTTGGCTCTGGGTCCGGTGGCAGGGAGGGGCAGGGGTCCTTGGCCAAGTGGCCATTGTCTTCACGCGGCTCCAGGAAGCCACTGTTTGTTGTTCCGCGGTCTCCAAAGAGCGAGGCCGCCTCACCCCTCGTTCCCTTCCAGGTGACCAACCGCGGCGAGGCCCACCTCGAGCTGAACGCCTTCCGCAGGAAACACGACTGTGCCCTGGTCATCTCTGGAGACTCCCTGGAGGTAGGACCGCCTGGCGCCCTTTCCTGCTGCCGTGAGGGAAGTGACCTTGCTGACCCCCCCTCCCTCCCCAACAGATCTGCCTCAAGTATTACGAGTACGAGTTCATGGAGCTGGCCTGCCAGTGCCCGGCCGTGGTCTGCTGTCGCTGCGCCCCCACGCAGAAGGCCCAGATCGTGCGTCTGCTGCAGGAGCGCACTGGGAAGCTCACCTGTGCAGTAGGTAGGCTAGTCACCTGTGCAGTAGGTAGGCTAGTTCACCTGGGTGGTAGGTAGGGTAGCTCACCTGGGCGGTAGGTAGGGTAGCTCACCTGGGCGGTAGGTAGGGTAGCTCACCTGGGCGGTAGGTAGGGTAGCTCATCTGGGCGGTAGGTAGGGTAGCTCGCCTGGGCGGTAGGTAGGGTAGCTCGCCTGGGCGGTAGGTAGGGTAGCTCGCCTGGGCGGTAGGTAGGGTAGCTCATCTGGGCGGTAGGTAGGCATGCTCACCTGGGCGGTAGGTAGGTAGCTCACCTGGGCGGTAGGTAGGGTAGCTGACCTGGGCGGTAGGTAGGGTAGCTCACCTGGGCGGTAGGTAGGCATGCTTACCTGGGCGGTAGGTAGGGTAGCTCACCTGGGCGGTAGGTAGGGTAGCTGACCTGGGCGGTAGGTAAGGGTAGCTCACCTGGGCGGTAGGTAGGCATGCTTACCTGGGCGGTAGGTAGGGGTAGCTTCATCATGGGCGGTAGGTAGGGAATGCTAACCTGGGCGGTAGGTAAGGGTAGCTCACCTGGGCGGTAGGTAGC